TAGCAACAGAAACTGTGGGGAACCATGCAAAAAACGCATCTTCGCACGGGCAGCCCGTGCGTTGGCTAATTATTTTATAACAAACGAATGCAGCCTCAAGTAGCTAGAAGGACAGCATCCTGTCAAAAGTAACATTCGCCTTCTTATGGTTTCCAATTCCGAGAGGTACTATGCAAAAGCAGCTGAAGGCTGATCACATTTCTAATTAATAGGGAAGGCCGAGATTAAACAAAACATATTAACGAAGCGTAAAAAGACCGATTTTCCAAAGTGACGGAACGGAACTAGCTACTGGCTCTTGCATGCAACTAGGCTTTACTCATCCTCATACTTACTTGGGAACTTGTACAACCTAAAGTTCATAATCTGGTTCATCAACCGAGCAGCTGGGAGAATTGTTTTTGTTTTGACTTGTGCTGCTTCGTTTGTGCTAGTCAGCCCCAAAGCGATCCTGGCATTTATTTCATCTCCTGATGAATTAGTATTTTCGATGCTTGGCAAAGCTTTAAGACGCTTCGAAATGCCTTCAGTATTTTGAAAGTACCACACTTCATGTCGAACGCTGTTATTCTTAGGTTTATTTTGTTGACCAGAACCCTTATTTTCATATTAAGCATAAAACTGTTGGGATCTAAAAATGCAAAAGGAAAAAAAAACCAACCTATAATCGAGCATATCATACCAGTTGTGCATGAGGAATAGTATTCTCAGTTGCCTCGCCGAATAATTCTTCAACGCATCGTCAATTGTAATAAAATTTTTTAAACTCTTCGACATTTTTAAACCGACAATACGCAGAGTACCACAGTGTAAAAAGTACCGTACCCAGTTTTCGATATCATAATATGCTTCCACCTGCAACACAATAAAAAACATTCGCATTATAGAAGAACACCATCAAAAATCGCCTTCGGAAAGTCCATATGGAATGCTGCGGAGGGCAAACTCTTTACTTGTTTCGTTAATTCTTTCACATAAAAGTTTCGTGTCGGCCTATATGGTACCTTTTCGACAGCTAGTTCGATGCTATCAAGGCAGTTAATTTTACTTCCTCTAAAGGCGCCATAAGAAGCTTTTCCATCGAAAACTAAGTTGACCAGATAAATAAGTGCTTCTCGATTGATAATCAACTCATTACATTTTGAGACGCTACGGCAGAGCAGGAGAAGCCGAAAATGTAAGAAAGTCAAGAAGAGACTGAGAGGTAAGAGGTTGCGGTCCAATAAGCCCTGGACATCTTAGCTCAGCATCGCAACAAGCAGAAAAAAAACTTGGTCTAATGGTTAGTTTGTCAGGCATTCTCAGTCACGCCAATACATTACTGACTGGAACTGTTGTGGCGAGTATTTGTGTGTCAATTTTTACGCTGATTTTACCGAAGAACAAGAGCCATCTTTTCAGAAATCCCTCCCGCAGTCGTTCCTCCTCACTTATATATTACCACTCCCACAGAAACAATGTAAACACAAGAATACATTGCTTAGCCTTAATTGAAAAACTGGCGGCCAATGCTGCACTGAAGGCAATGCACCACAGCCTGCTGTTGATCATGAGATGTTTGGCTTCCTGGAGGCCTTGCTAAGTGCTCCTCTCTGTTCTCCCGCAAGAAGTATCTGGTAAGGCTTCAGATATTTCGAAATGTCACGAGGCACCTTACCAACGCGTAAAAAACAATACATTCTCAATTCACCTGGGCTATTTCATTGTCATGATGAGGAAATTTTAAATCAAAACCGCCAGCATGGATATCGAGAGAGGAACCACAGATCTTCGAGCTCATCGCCGAGCATTCAATATGCCAACCGGGTCGACCTGTAAACACCCAAACCACTTAACACAATATAATCATCCAGTCCACTGGCTATACGGAGAAACTGGAACGATTCAGATAATTCTACTGGACACAATTATCTCGGATAAAATCAAATTGCAGTAGTATATGGGATCCGTCCCTAGGCTGAAATCCATGAATTTTTCACAAAATAACCAATATTGGTTCTGACATATCACTAACCTTTGCCCCACGGACTATCCCAGTACGGCTCGCCACTTTTAGAAGCTTTCCATAAAGCAAAATCAGTAACATTCTTTTTTTCCTGAAATGCTCAATAATGTGGAAATTTCACAATGCCATTGCACTACTTTCTGTTAGTATAACGCATTTCGCTGATAAATAAAAAGCTAACTCTGCGACAACACTAATTCAATACCGGCCGTTGCACATTCTTTTCAGGCTACATCAAAATCTCATCAACTAATATAACGAGGCACGACGCAAGACATTATGCAAACAAGGTGACTGGTCATAAAAAGGCCTTTTCCAAATGATTTTTTATTAATCCATAGCTTCAGCATACGCAAGCCCTTCGGACCCGTCTACGGCGCCGGATCAGTATTTGTGAGCGGTATCTGCGGAAAGCATACAACCATTTGAGCGTTTAACAAAGATTTTCACACACTACAACAAACAGGCGGTGACTAACTAGAGATGTGTGGCACAGCTGCGGCCGAAAGGCCTGGCATAGCTATTATCGGTTTGTGGAAACATTCCAGTAACAGCATTAACATGAGACACCCACAATGTGTATCCTGGCAAGTCTTGTTCTTCCGGTTAGCAAATGAAAAAAAACTGTGAAATCATTACACACCTGTAAATTATCCATGCTCAATTCCCCTTCACTTTCTCGCATATTTTTCATCAGCTGTTCATTATTGCCGAACGCTTCTGGCACCAATTTCGCATACGAATGATTATCATTTTTATCAAATTTCACAGTATCAAAGTAAACCTGAAATTTTTTAGGCTGTAAATACGTAAGAAACAAATGCCACTGTTAGCACAAAAACTACACAAGCGTCCAACAAACTGTGTGGACCAAGATGTTACTGACATACATTTATAAGCCCAAAGCAGCAAATGAACTAATTTGAGCCGGACATTTTCAGTTTTGCACAGGCTGCTTGTATTATGCTTGGGTGATCTCTTTAACAATCATACAGACGACTACTCGCTATTACTACTGGCGGACAATGGTAAACAGTGCTGCTGAAGGTCGAGAGTTCGACTTCGGTGAGGCAATGCTCGATCCGTTCATTCATTTCAGTGGGAAATCAATGTTGGCGCATGATAAGAACTCGAAATCGTCATCAGCTTACTTACAAACAACCCTCGGAAGAGGAAACTACTGGAAGTATCACTGACGTGTTTTTGCTTTTGGCACCTGTTCCACCGTTTTCACCTCCCAAACAGAATAAGTACGGACGAAGTTTCGACTAACTAATAAAAACACCCAGCAACTGATAGCAAAGCGATCAGCGACAAATCCAGCAGTTTTACTCAAATTCCTAAACAAAATCGAGGATCAAGATACCCTTCGTATCTCACTGCCTAGGAGAATTAAAGTATTTTGATGGCACTAGCAAGACTGAAAGCACGCTGTTAGTAAAGATCAAGCACCAATAAGTCAGCCGGTAGATCTCTCACTTAAAAACTGCTTCAAAGTAAGCTGAGAGCAGTCTCGATTAAACGAGATGCATCAACTGACCATTAAAGCGAATAAACGAACTGTGGCGGAATTGATTTGTGCAGTGACAAAAAACAAACCAGTGATATCTGTGAAAAAATATGCATACCGATCCATCGCCGGTGACATATCCATAACCATTATCAATAATCTTCTCCACATATGCTATAATTTCTGGAATGTACTCCGAAACTCGCGTCAAAATATCCGGTGGTAACACATTCAAACGAGCCATGTCTCTCAAAAACTCGCTTTCATATCTAAAAAAAAAAAAAAAAAAAAGCTGAGAGATTAACTGAAAATGAAAATCAGTCAATAAATAGCCGTAATTTTTTTCAGGGATTAAATTTCATATGAACTAATCATTCAGTGATGACTTTTCAAATATGGCCGAATTTTGATAACAGCTTAAACTGCTCATCGAAAACAAGGCTCCCAAAAAGAAAATAGATGCTGCATGAGGTAAATAAGCACGAACGGCGAAAGTGGGCTTGGTCAATGTAATAAAACAAAGGGTGACCTAAATCGCCGGTATAGCAGCAATTAGACCGCGAGAAAAAAGATGCAGCACAGGAAGTTGTATGGATGCATTTCAGAAAGATCGGACTCCTTTGCTTAATCTCTATGATTTGCGCTGAAAAATGACTTACTTCTTTGCAAGCCTGTCAAAGACGGCAAGATCATTAACTGTGTTCCCATGCACGGAATCGAGCCAATCCGCTAGCACATCCTTGGCCGCATTTAACAACTCCTTCCTTGCATTCTCGGTTAAATTCTCTTCCACAGAGGATAGTGCGCATTCAAGAGTTTTTACAGCAGCATTCACTTTCGCACTCTGCAACAGTCACAGTTCACTGCGCAACTTACCACAAAGTATAGCTCAGAAAAAGGGAGAAATGGGCAGCACTGCTCACATGCTAAAGGTTGACGGTTCGACAGTAGGACTGTCGTTATTCCCCCTCCCTCCTCATATCTTATTATTTGTTTGCTCGTTTCGACAGTAAATTGATAAAAGCGCATGCTAAGGATTCAAAATCACCATCAACTTGCTGTCTAACAGCTTACGAAAGGCAACCAAGTCGAAAGCGTACCGGCTGCGGTACGAGGATGCGTTTTTTGCACAGTTCCCCCCGCAGGTTTTATTTGCCAGTGGCACGTTCTTCCTGAGTGGCCACCATGACTGTTAGAAATTACTACAATGACTCCCAATCCATCCTCAAAAAATTCAGCGCTCTGGATGCTTCGGTTGCGGAGTTACGC